AAGTAAAGTGCAGAGGTACGGAGACTCCGGCGCGCGTGGAAATTCTGTCTTTTTGAATCGGGAGGGAGTCACAAGCTCCCGACTGCTCTGAACTCCGGTTCCGGAAATCTCTGGGGTCCCAGGGCTCATACAGGGAGAAACTGGACTGTCTGGCAGCAGGCAGAACTCGGAACTTGAGGGCGGCTTTCCCTCAGAGGTGCTGGCAGCAATTACCGGGACACTGAGACGCGCGGCCCCTTAGGGCAGGGCTGAGAATCAGCCATAGCTGCTTGCTCCGCCCTGTTGATTCCGAGACCCCGCCCCATCCAGGCTGCTGCAAAGCCTTTTGCATATGAATGCCCGGGTCCTTTACAATCTGACAACTACCTAACAAATTGCAGCTGGGCCAGACAGACCCAGAACTTCCAAGAGAAGGCCCAAGGCCCCACAGCAGCTTGCATTGCTTCTCAGCTGGGCCTCATCTGGGCACCCCCAAACCCCCAAAAAAGGAAGGGGAATCTGCATATCTCTTCATAGCTCCTGCTGGGTAACCTCAGGAAGAGGCTTAATTAGCACCTCCTTAGATCCAAGAGCCAGTGTACCCAGTGGTCAGAGTGGGACCACCCAGATTACAACTCCTCAGATTCATAAGGAACACACTCAGGGGGCAGACTCAGTGAGCACCAAAGCCCCACTGAAGCAAGTCTTGCCCCAGAAGGGTGTCTTCAGCACAGAAGTTCTCCCACTGCAGACACAGCTGATTCTCACTGCCAATTGGCCTGGAGGTCAATTCCTCCCAGTGACACCTAAAACAATCAAGGCATAACTACAACAAGACTGTGCACAAAGCCCACAAGGGGGTGCACCAAGAGTGTCCACCTCAGGTAACTGGGGAGGCTGAGCCACTGGGCCCTGTAGGACACCTAGCACACAAAACCACTCTACCAACACAGGGAAGCAGACAAAATGCGAAGACAAAGAAACAGGTCACAAATGACAGAAATGGAGGACAGCAAACGACTGGATATAGAGTTCAAAACCACGGTTCTAAGATTTTTCAAGAATTTTATGGAAACCGCCGATAAATGTATTGAGATCCTTAAGAAATCTAGTGAGACCCTCGATGTTGTGATAAAGGACCAACTAGAAATTAAGCATACACTGACTGAAATAAAGAATATTATACAGACTCCCAACAGCAGACCAGAGGATCGCAAGAATCAAGTCAAAGATTTGAAATACGAAGAAGCAAAAAACACCCAACCGGAAAAGCAAAATGAAAAAAGAATCCAAAAATACGAAGATAGTGTAAGGAGCCTCTGGGACAACTTCAAGCGTACCAACATCAGAATTATAGGGGTACCAGAAGAAGAGAGAGGGCAAGATATTGAAAACCTATTTGAAGAAATAATGACAGAAAACTTCCCCTACCTGGTGAAAGAAATAGACTTCCAAGTCCAGGAAGTGCAGAGAACCCCAAACAAAAGGAATCCAAAGAGGACCACACCAAGACACATCATAATTAAAATGCCAAGAGCAAAAGACAAAGAGAGAATCTTAAAAGCAGCAAGAGAAAAAAAGTCAGTTACCTATAAGGGAGTACCCATACGACTGTCAGCTGATTTCTCAACAGAAACTTTGCAGGCCAGAAGGGAGTGGCAAGAAATATTCAAAGTGATGAATAGCAAGAACCTACAACCAAGATTACTTTATCCAGCAAAGCTATCATTCAGAATTGAAGGTCAGATAAAGAGCTTCACAGATAAGAAAAAGCTAAAGGAGTTCATCACCACCAAACCAGTATTATATGAAATGCTGAAAGGTATTCTTTAAGAAGAGGAAGAAGAAAAAGGTAAAGATAAAAATTATGAACAACAAATACATATCTATCAACAAGTGAATCTAAAAATCAAGTGAATAAAAAATCTGATGAACAGAGGAAACTGGTGAATATAATAGAATCAGGGGCATAGAAAGGGAGTGGACTGACAATTCTCAGGGGGGAAAGGTGTGTGGGGGGTGTGGGAAGAGACTGGACAAAAATCATACACCTATGGATGAGTACAGTGGAGGGGTAAGGGCAGAGGGTGGGGTGGGAACTGGGTGGAGGGGAGCTATGGGGGGAAAAAAGAGGAACAACTGTAATAATCTGAACAATAAAGATTTAATTTAAAGAAAAGAAAAAAGAGGAACAACTGTAATAATCTGAACAATAAAGATTTAATTTAAAGAAAAGAAAAAAGAGGAACAACTGTAATAATCTGAACAATAAAGATTTAATTTAAAGAAAAGAAAAAAGAGGAACAACTGTAATAATCTGAACAATAAAGATTTAATTTAAAGAAAAGAAAAAAGAGGAACAACTGTAATAATCTGAACAATAAAGATTTATTTTTTTTTAAAAAGGAATATTTCCTTAATGGCTAATAATGTTTTTCACATGCTTATGTGCTTATCTACCATCTGTATTCATAATCTTTTACCCATTTCCTAATTGACTGTTTTGTTTTTTTAAAATATATTTTATTGATTTTTTACAGAGAGGAAGGGAGAGGGAGAGGGATACAGAGTTAGAAACATCGATGAGAGAGAAACATTGATAAGCTGCCTCCTGCACACTTCCTACTGGGGATGTGCCCGCAACCAAGGTACATGCCCTTGACCGGAATCGAACCCGGAACCCTTCAGTCCACAGGCCAAAGCTCTATCCACTGAGCCAAACCGGTTAGGGCTTGACTGTTTTTAATTGTTCAATTTTGAGAGCTCTGTATATAGTCTAGATATGAGTTCCTGGTGGTTTATAAATATTTTCTCCCAGTCTATCATTGTCTTTTCGTCCTCTTAAAGGGTCTTTCACAGACCAAAGGTTTTAATTTGGGCTTAGTCCAATTTATTGATTTCTTTCTTTTCTGGATTGTGCTTTTGGTATCATGTTAAAAACTCCACCTGGCGTTAGGTCCTGAATTTTCTATTTTCTTCAAAACGTTTTATACAGGGGCCCAGCTGGTTTGTCTCCGTGGTTGAGTGTAGACATATGAACCAGGAGTCACAGTTCGATTCCCAGTCAGGGCATTTGCCCAGGTACAGGCTCAGTCCCCACTGTCGGGTATGCAGGAAGCAGCAGATCAATGATTCCCTCTCATCACTGATGTTTCTATCTTTCTATCCCTTTCTCTCTGAAATCAATAAAAATATATAAGTTTTATCCAGGGATAGGCAAAAGTAGGTTTATAGTTGTGAGTATGTGGAACACAGAGTTTCTTATATGACTGCTTAATTATTTGTACAACTGCAAATCTTTTGCCCACCCCTGTACTTTACAGTTTACGACCAACTTTAAAATGTTTTTATTTATTTTTAGAGAGAGAGGAAAGAAGAGGGAGAGAGAGAGAACATCGATGAGAGATAAACATCAACAGATGAGAGAGGAACATCAACATAGATCGGCTACTGCCTGCACGGCCCCCACCAGGGATCGAGACTGTAACCTGGGCAGGTGCCCTGAACAGGAATCGAACCAATGACATCCTGGTACATGGGTTGATGCTCAACCACTGAGCAACACTGGCCAGGCACTTTTAAGTTAATTCTTATGGGGTGAGATTCATTTTTCCCCTCTAGATGTCCAAATACTCCAGTACCAACTGTTGAAAAGATTATCCTTCAATTAAATTGCTTGGCACCTGTCAAAAATCAGTTCACCAAATTATGAGTCTTATTTTTGGGTTCTCTATTCTGTTTAACCAATCTACGCTTCTATTCTTCTACCAACACCTTATCTTGATAACTGTAGTTATAAATGCAGGTAACCCTGGAAGAATGCTGAAGTTAGAGGCACTGACCCCCCGCCAGCCCCGCCCAGAGAGAGAGACATATCGATTGGTTGCCTCCCGCACACATCCTGACCAGGGCAGTTGTTTTAAAAGTTTTCCACAAAAAATATACACTACTTTTGTAGTTTGAGGGGAAAGAAACTACACCAATAAATATTTTAAGTAATACCAATAAAGTATACGAAATAATATGAAAAGGAAGTATACATGTGTATACACATACACACAATAAGGTTACAATTATTTTAAAGAAAGAAAAATTATGCATAAGAAAAAAAGATTGGTAGGAGATACATCAAAATAATTGTGGCTGTGTGGACGAAATAATTATGGGCAATTTTCCCTCTAAGAACATGTATTATGTTAATATTTTAAAAATTACTGCTCATCCGGTGTGGCTCAGTGGTTCAGTGTTGAGCCAGGACTAAGAGGTCACTGGTTTGATTCCTGGTCAGTGCACATGGTGGGGTTGCAGGCTCAATCCCCAGTAGGGGGTGTGCAGTAGGCAGCCAATTGATGTCTCTCATTGATGTTTCTAATCTCTCTATCCCTCTCCCTTCCTCTTTCTTTAAAATTCAATAAAAAAATATATATTTTAAAAATTACTGTACTTATCAACCCTGACCAAACCTTCTTTTTCACTGGTTCCTGCCTCCTGAAACAAACCAACAAACATAAATATGCACACAAACCCACAGATACTTACATGGGCTTACATCTCTGTATCTGTTTCGATTTCTGTTTTCTGGAAACTTGGCCACTCTATGAGGATAGTCATGGGACTCATTTCGAATTTCCTTAAAATAACAAAAATATATTTTAATATTCTTCTTAAATTTTATATAGCAAAACAGATACTTTCCCAGCCAGGACAAATAACACTTATTGAACACTTGTAATATGCCAAGTACTATGCAAAACACACTATATACATTATCTCATTCAATTCTCACAATACCAATGCAAGGGATGATTTGAGAGGTTAAACGACCCACCAAGGGTCCCAAAGCTAGTAAGTGGCAGACCCAAGGACTGAACCAAGGTCCTTCAGGCACCAAAGTCTTTGCTCTTGATATATTTATTTACTGTCATGCTATATTCAACACCTATAAGGCAACATTAAACATTTTATGTCACACAGAATTAATGCACTGAGGTACCTAAGATTACATGATATTCAAATTTCTAACTAAACTCTCTTAATATTATCTATCTATATTTCAAAGTTTCTATCTTAAAATTGTAAACTATTTTTTATCTTCATGTCATATAACTTTAACTTTATTTTGAGTCCAGAAAAAGCCTCAAATTTTATTTCTGGAGCCATAAATGATTAGCAACAACCACTAGGCCTGAAGCACATTTTAGGACCCTTGTGGTTTTCTGTATTCTACTATGGAAGAAATTCTGTAAGGTTATGCCTGCATTAGGGGCAGCTACTTGTATTCAACATCAGTTTTTTTCTTTCATATGAAATACTAGAAGCCTGGTACACGAAATTCGTGCATGAGGGGGGTGCTCAGCCCGGCCTGCGCCCTCTCGCAGTCTGGGAGCCCTTGAGGGATGTCCTACTGATGGCTTAGGCCCGCTCCCCGTGGGCAGTCAGACATCAGCACTACCACGGAGGCGGGAGAGGCTCCTGCCACCACCGCTGCACTCACCAGCTATGAGCCCAGCTTCTGGCTGAGCAGAACTCCCCCTGTGAGAGTGCACTGACCACCAGGGGGCAGCTCCTGTGTTGAACGTCTGCCCCCCTAGTTTGGTCAGTTTGCATATTAGCCTTTTATTATATAGGATAATTCTATGAATTCAGGTAAAAACAGAAACATACCAAAAAAAAGTATGCATTAACAGCAAAATTTAATTTGGGCTTTTTTCCCCCCACACTAACACATGTGAGAAAAAGCATTTTAAAAGTCAGACACCAGATAGTTCTAGAAATTAAGCACAAATAAATTATTCAAGTAATTTCTTGATGAACATCCTTACTCTGGGTTCCCTTGCCTGCCACGACCACTACCAGCTCTAAACCAGTTAACTTTTTAGTTCATGTTTTTATTCATTGTGCCTTCCAAGATGCAAGAGAAGGGAATACAGATCCACTCTCAATTGGAGAAATCTCAGTCACATTGTGCAAAGAGCACGTGTGATACAAAATATGTTGGTACAGCCATTTTGGAAAATGCATTTTGCCACACAGAAAAACAGAAACATACACACTGTACACACACTTTACAACTGTTGCTGTTGACTTCTTAAATGCTACTGTCACATTCAGCAATCTTGCTGAGCTCTCTAGTATTTTGTAGCTGGCTCTGAATTTCTCCGTATCAGTAGTGTAATTCTGTCTCTCCCTTATACTTCATATTTCTTCATACCTTTTGTTTCTTCTTCTTTTTTTTAATTCTAATTCCACTGGTTAGGATCTCCTATTCATAATCAAATGGAAATGTCCCCCCCCCCCCCCCCCCCCCCCCCCCCCACCCCCTGCTTCTAAGGTTTAACCACTAAGTGTAATACTACTTTAGGTTTCTGGTGGAATGAAGTTGGATCTTTACCATAAACCATACACAAAAACTAACTAAAAATGGATCAAAGACCTGAAACTATAAAACTCTTAAAAAAAACACAGGGTTTAAAAGTTTTCATGATCTTGGATTTGGCAATGATTTCTCAAATTAAGACACTAAAAGCACAGGCAACAAAAAAAAAATAGACCATGACCTTGGATTTGGCAATGGTGGCTTTTTTTTTTTAATTTTATTGATTTCAGAGAGGAAGGGAGAGAGAGATAGAAACATCAATTATGTGAGAGAATCATTGATCAGCTGCCTCCTGCACGCCCCACACTGGGGATGGAGCCCGTAACCCAGGCATGTGCTCTTGACTGGAATTAAACCCGGGACCCTTCAGTCCACAGGCCGACGCTCTATTCACTGAGCCAAACTGGCCAGGGCAGCAATGGTTTCTTAAATTATGACACCAAAAGCGCAGATGACACAAGAAAAATAAATTAAACTTCATCAAAATTAAGAATTTTTGCACATCAAATGACACTATAGAGTGAAAAGATAACCCACATATTGGGGGGAAAATATTTGCATATCATATATCTAACAAACCATTAATAACCAGAATAAAGAACTTCTACAATTCAAAAAAAGGACAATGAATTAAAAAATAGGCAAAGACACTTATTAGAATGACCAAAATCCAGAATACTGACAACACCCACTACTGACAAGAATGAGGAATAATAGTAACTCTCATTCATTGCTGGTGGTAATATAAAATGTTACAGCCACTTTGGAAGACAGTTTGGTGGTTTCTTACAAAACTAAACATACTCTTACCATATAATCCAGCAATCGTGCTCCTTGGTATTTACCCAAAGGAGCTGAAAAGTTATGTCCACACAAAAACCTGCACACGGATGTTTATAGCAGCTGTATTAATAACTGCCCAAGCTTGGAAGTAACCAAGGTACCCTTCAGTAGAGGAATGGATAAATAGTCTGTGGTACATGCAGACAAAATATTGTTCAGTGCTAAAAAGAAATAAACTATCAAGCCATGCAGATATTAAAGAACCTTAAATGCATATTACTAAGTAAAATAAGCCAATGTGAAAAGGCTACATACTGTATGATTCCAACTATATGACATTCTGGAAAAGGCAAATATATGAAGACAATTAAAAGATCAGTTGCCAGGATTTGGGGGTGGGAGGGAGGAATTAATAGGCAGATTACAGAGGATTTTTAGGGCAGTGAAAATACTCTGTATGATGCCATAATGATGGATATGTGTACATTGTCCGAACCTACAGAATGTATGCCACCAAGAGAGAACCCTAAAGTAAATTATGTACTTTGAGTGATTATAACATGTCAATGTAGGTTCATCAATTTTAACAAATGTACCACTCTGGTGGGGGATTCTGATAATGGGGGAGGTTATGCATGTGTAGAGGCAGGGAAATCTCTGTATCTTCCCCTCAATTTTGCTGTGAACCTAAAATTGCTCAAAAAAAAAAAGTCTTAATTGAAGAAAAAAAAAGGCAAATGACTTGAACAGACATTTCCCCAAAGATATAAATGGTCAATAAGCACATGAAAAAGATGCTCAACATCCTTAGTCATTAGGGAAATGCAAATCTAAACCACAATGAGAGACCAATTCATACCTACTAACATGACTATAATTTTAAAAATGGAAAGTAACAAATGTTAGTGAGGATGTGATGAAATAGAAATCCTTACACATTGTTGGTTGGAATGTAAAATGTTGCAGCCACTATGGAAAACAGTTTAGCAGTTCCTCAAAAAGCTACACACAGAATTACCATATTGTCCAGCAATAGGGGGATAAAGACACATATGGAATACCTTAGTCAATAAAGAAAAAAATTATAAAAAAAACCTGAATAGATGGAGGAATAGAAAAACAGGCACTTTCTTAAACTACTAATGGAAGTATATGTACATTACAACTTCTTTGGAAGGTTATTCATTACAGCATTATTTATAATTGCTAATGGATATAAAAAATAACCTACATATCCATTATAACGAGTGGTTTAATAATGAATTCTATTTAACTGTTAAAATGAACACAAGGTGCAAAACTAGGGGTGGGCTAGGTAGAAGGAGGAGAAAGGGAGACAAGCAGGAGACAGCTTATATGTGTATAAAGTATCTCTGGGAAGACAGACAAGAGAACTGGTTATAGTGATTGCCTGTAGAAAAGGAACTAGGGAGAACAGAGACAGTGACTTAGTTTTCCACTATATATCCTTCTGTACTGTTTTCATTTTTGCCATGTTCACATAATCCTAACCAAATTATTTACTTATTTATTTCTCAAAATACTGACTCTAAAGTTTGCCCTGACTGGGTGGCTCAGTTGGTTGGAGCATTGTTCCACACACCAAAATGATGGGGGCTCAATTCCTTGTTAAGGCACATACCTAGGTTGTGGGTTTGATCCCATCAGGGTGTGTGGCAGCGAATTGATGTTTCTCTCTCACATTGATGTTTCTCTCTCTCTCTCTCTCTCTCTCTCTCTCTCTCTCTCTCTTCAATAAAAAGAATATCCTCAGGTGAGGATAAAACAACAAAAACAGACTCTAAAATTAAGTACTGGCTTCCTACCTAGACATACCACTTGACTGCAGTATAAACTTGAAAAACTGAGTCTCAGGGTTCTCATTTGTAGCCACCTCTTAGATAATCCACATAAAGTATATAGCATGTACCTAATACAAAGTAGGAGCTCAATCAAGATTAGTGTATTATTCTTAAACTCTCTTCCTCAAAGAAAGGAACTTATTCCATCAGGAATCTTATCTCCCAACCAGTGAAAGGCCATAACTAAGCCTGAACAAATCTATAATAATAAAGGGGTAATATGCTAATTAGACCCGACAGCCTAACGACCTTCCAGATGTCCTTCCAGACGGAGCCAGGGCTGCAAGGGCTGAGCCCCTTGCACGAATTTCGTGCATTGGGCCTCTAATCTAAAATAATAGTTTTTGAAGTATACAGGATATTTAGCTTCATACTTGATTGTCCCTCCACAATATTTTTAGACGGAGTATATGCACAAACATTTGACTAATAAAAGAAAGTGAATAATGCCCTCGCTGGAGTGGCTCAGTTGGTTGGAGCATCATCCAGTGCACCAAAAAGGTGGCCAGTTTGATTCCTGGTCAGGGAACATACACAGATTGTGGGTTCAATCTGGTTGCAGTGCATTCGGGAAGCAAACAATCGATGTTTCTCATGCATGATGTTTCTCTCTCTCTCTCTCTCTCTCTCTCTCTCTCGGAAATCTATATATATAATAGAGAAATATGCTAATTAACTGGGACACTGTAACGGGTTGACTGGACAGGAGGAGGTTGCGTGTGCAGCGTCGAGGGCGGGACGGCAGAGGACTCAGCGCGCCTGCCCTGGGGGAGGGCCTGATCAGCAGCAGCCATGGCTGCTGCGGGGCCCAGGAAGCGAGGCAGGGCCAGCCCTGCGACTCAAGGGTGGGCGGCGCCGCGCAATTTCGAATTGCATGCTGGGCTCCTAGTTAATAAATAAAAATAAAGAAATAATAATAATAAAAGTGAATGCTTTACTATCACATAATTCAGGATTCACTTAGGGACCTTAAATACAAAAAAATAAATTTAGGTATGTTCTCCCATAAATAGAAAATCTATCGATTTGGGATTATCTTAAAGTCCTTGTTTTTTCTTATTTTATTAAAAATTAATAGATTGCTCTTTTCCAATTTCCTAATTCTTATTAGTTGTTCCATCACAACAGTTCAAGGCAGAGCATTCCACAGTACAACAAGGACATAAAGTTTTTTGTGCACTATATAGAACAAAGATATGTACCAAGTTCAAAAAAATTATTATTTTTTAAAATATATTTTATTGATTTTTTACAGAGAGGAAGGGAGAGAGATAGTTAGAAACATCGATGAGAGAGAAACATCGATCAGCTGCTTCCTGCACACCCCCCACTGGGGATGTGCCCGCAACCCAGGTACATGCCCTTGACCGGGATCGAACCTGGGACCCTTCAGTCCGCAGGCAGACGCTCTATCCACTGAGCCAAACCGGTTCCGGCCAAAAAAATTATTTAATAAAATATTATGAAATAACTATTTCACCCTAACAATGATGGAAATTAAGTTACAGCAACAGAGATTTAAAAAATAAAAACTTTCAGCCCGAATCGGTTTGGCTCAGTGGATAGAGTGTCGGCCTGAGGACTGAAGGGTCCCAGGTTCGATTCCGGTCAAGGGCATGCACCTTGGTTGTGGGCACATCCCCAGTAGGGGGTGTGCAGGAGGCAGCTGATCGATGTTTCTCACTCATCGATGTTTCTAACTCTCTATCCCTCTCCCTTCCTCTCTGTAGAAAAATCAATAAAATGTATTTAAAAAATAAAAAATTTCAGATTTGAAATGTGAACCTGTTTAGTAACTTCACTGGTTAAAACATAAATCATCACAGAAGCAATTCCTATCATCATGGAGTGACTACAATTTTCTAAGGTTACCCCAGCGTACCATCCCTTGACTAGGAACAGAGTGGTACACACTCTAGGAGCCATACGACCTTACTCCAACCCACTTAAGGAATTCCTAGAAGTACTATTAAGTAAACTGTTAAGAGGAACTGATAGCTTTCAGAGTATAAAACTGTTCAAATACAGTGAAAGAAGAAATAAAATAATTCAGCATGAGATTTTTCTGCAGAGGAATGAAAGCAGTTTAAATTAAAGTTACAAATGAGTGACATGAACCAAATGAAACTGATAGAATGAAGAGTATATTAAATCAGATACACTGGATTGTTAAAGAAGAAGACATGAAACTATCACATTTGAAAAGATACCAGAAATCCATAGGTAAAAGTATCTAATCTTAAATCAGTTTCTTGACCAGGACTTCTTTCCATAGGTCATCAACCTCGAACAGTCTTTAGGGGCCTATAAAACCCCTAAAGTCACATGGTAAATTTTGGAGGATTTTATATACATGGACACTTCTCTCTTCCACAGATTTCATTTTAAAGGTCTCAAAAGGTATTTACAATCTATAACCATTACTATTACTCTACTATAAATAGAACATTAACATTACATTAAATATTTAAAATAGCACTACAAAAATAATAATAAAATAGCACTATAATCATTCTTAATAGCAATTTCACACAATGCCTGACAAGATAGAACATCATTCCAAGTAACAATGGAACAGAAAAGTTTAGTATTTTACTCAAAATAGTAGAATCTGAAGTTATAATCTTCAAAATTAGTCTGCTGAATTGTATGTCTTTCTCAACTGCTATGTTTTAAATCTTCTAGGCTAAACTGACTTAGCATATGGCTAGTCACTATTATCCAAAGTAATGAAGGGTATTATCAAAAGTCCTAATTTACTAGTTGGTTTAAATATTCTCTGCCCCTAACAGCTTCACCAAAAAGAAATAACGACTTTAATGGAGCATTCAGTGGAACTACCACAGAGAACAGAGCATAGAGAATCTAGATAGGAATTTCCAGGAGAAACAAATCATATATATACTTATTTGATAAAGTGAAGAACACACTTACGTTAATTATAATCTTGCTTTTCTAGATCTTATCTGTCCATGTAGCTAGTTTACTTTCTGGAAGAGAATGAGCAGAATAAGAGAACAAAGGGAACAGGCAGGGAGACAGGACAGCAGGAGACTGCAAGACAATAATTCTCCAACTGCAAACAGGGAATTCTGTAGACAATAATGATCTGGGAGAAGCAAAAAAACAAACACACACACACACACACACACACACACACACACACACACACTTTGTTGGAGATTCT